CCCATCAGAAGTCGGGAAACAAGCTGTTTTTGGCCTCCATGGGGGGGGGGGCATTTTCACCCTCCCCGGGCTCCTAGAAATGTTCTGGAGCCTGGGGAGAGTGAAAAATGGAACGTCCAGTCTGACCGGAATTTGGCAAATGTTATTTTTGGGCTCCGGGGGAGAGGGGTAGGCCATTTTTGCCCTCCCCAAGCTCCTAGAAAGGGTCTGTATTATGGGTCAGGACGAAGGACGAGGCAGGAGGCAGTCTGAGGTAAGAACAGCTTCGTTTATTGTAGAACAATCAACTATGTACAGAAGTAGCAGTTCAGCACCTTCCCTGCTTGACAGCTATTTTTACGGGCTGTCAAGCAGGGAAAACCAATAGGCACACCCCTAGCAGCCCGCGCTGCTTGGCATCTTGGCCAATCAGGACGTGGCTTGGCTTATTGCTAGCCGCTAGGTCGTAAGTCGAGGACTTACCAATATTCAACAGTCTGGAGCCTGGGGAAGTAAAAAAGCAGGTATTAAGACACGCCTCGAAGGCTCGTCTCAAAGTCTTCCAGCCACCTGAAATATGGAGGGTGACTTCAAACAGGAATTGTCTACAGCAGCATTTCGCAACCTTGGCAACTTGAGGATGTCCGGACTTCAACTCCCAGAATTCCCCAGCCAGCGTTTGCTGGCTGGGGAATTCTGGGAGTTAAAGTCCGGACATCTTCAAGTTGCCAAGATTGCAAAACACTGGTCTACAGCCGTCTTGGTTTTAATTCAGTGTTAGATTAAACCCTGTATTTGCTTGAAGATTGCTATTACATCTTCCCTTACAGGAAGCTTTCCTTTAGCAACGGCCTTGTTTAGTAACCATTTACAGTTGCGACAATGATGAAAAAGTCACTTGCCTACCAATCCTCCCATGTACGATCTTCACAAGTCTCTAAAGCAAAAGAAAGGTGAAGTAAAATCATAAGAACAATTGCTGTTCATTTAGTGAACCCTTTCATTTAATAATCAAGCTGCAGTTGCTAAACAGCTACTTTTACAGTATAATTGTTTTTTTAATAGGCTAGATCAGGGGTGGGTTTCTCGCCCCGTTCCAACCGGTTCGGTTGGAACGGGGCCGGCGGCATCCTCGTGCACGCGC